TGGAGAAGGTGTAGAGGTGGGAATTGAACCCACGACCTTCAGGCCTTAAGGCCAATGCTCTACCAACTGAGCTACTGTCGCCCCACTATTTGTGAATAAACTAAACTAAACTAAACTAGAAAAACAGAGCTAGCTTACATCGTATCCTCTGGAGAGACTTGTCTATGGGAGAGACCTGCGGGACCGCCTCGGACTATCTACGCTCGGACTATCTGCGCTCGGACTATCTACGCTCGGACTATCTACGCTCGGACTATCTACGCTCGGACTATCTACGCTCGGACTATCTACGCTCAGACTATCTACGCTCAGACTATCTACGCTCGGACTATCTACGCTCGGACTATCTACGCTCGGACTATCTACGCTCGGACTATCTACGCTCGACTATCTACGCTCGGACTATCTACGCTCGGACTATCTACGCTCGGACTATCTACGCTCGACTATCTACGCTCAGACTATCTACGCTCGGACTATCTACGCTCGGACTATCTACGCTCGGACTATCTACGCTCGGACTATCTACGCTCGGACTATCTACGCTCAGACTATCTACGCTCAGACTATCTACGCTCGGACTATCTACGCTCGGACTATCTACGCTCAGACTATCTACGCTCGGACTATCTACGCTCGGACTATCTACGCTCGGACTATCTACGCTCGGACTATCTACGCTCAGACTATCTACGCTCGGACTATCTACGCTCAGACTATCTACGCTCAGACTATCTACGCTCGGACTATCTACGCTCAGACTATCTACGCTCGGACTATCTACGCTCGGACTATCTACACTCGGACTATCTACGCTCGGACTATCTACGCTCGGACTATCTACACTCGGACTATCTACGCTCGGACTATCTACGCTCGGACTATCTACGCTCGGACTATCTACGCTCGGACTATCTACGCTCGGACTATCTACGCTCGGACTATCTACGCTCGGACTATCTACGTTCGGACTATCTATGCTCGGACTATCTACGCTCGGACTATCTACGCTCGGACTATCTACGCTCGGACTATCTATGCTCGGACTATCTACCTTCGGACTATCTATACTCGGACTATCTACGCTCGGACTATCTATGCTCGGATTATCTACGCTCGGACTATCTATGCTCGGACTATCTACGCTCGGACTATCTACGCTCGGACTATCTATGCTTTGACCACATTCGTACACGTAACTAGAGGTCATCTTTCAGTTATATATTGTGTTAGCAGTGCGTTGCTTTTGTACCATTTCATCAGTGATTGTTGTACAGCTTAGGTTGTGCTAATACTATTGTTAGCATACGTATCAGATCGCAAATAAAACTAGATGGCTCCGTGGGAGGAGAGCGTGGGGGAAATGAGAAGCCTGTGAGCGAGTTGGGGGCGGGGCTAAACATTTAAACCTGCAGAAACAGGTAGAGCTCCTTTAAAGCACTAATGAGTTTTGCTCGTGTTGGGGTCTGATTACGCCACCTCCGAACGCTTCTATATCTAAGAGAGATTTTGCGGTGAGGTAGAAGTGGAAAGCTGTGGTGGTCCTCTGGGATTTAAAGATTGTAATCAGAGCCAGCAGCAGCAGCAGCAGCAGGGACAAGAGCAGGTGAGCGCTGATTGGGTGGTTATCTGACCCAATGCCAGGAGAAATAAAAAGGTGAGAAATTGCAATGAAGTTTAAGACTAAAGTGAACGAACGGTCAAGACCCGGGGAAAATGATAGACAGGAAGAATACCAAACAAAATGGTACAAATATCTTAATTATATTACACAACAGAACGCTTCAGAGTGTGATAGAGCTGTCACTGTATTACATAATGTTATTCCTATTGATATAGATTAGGGTTCATTTTTTTATTTTATATTGTTAATATTATCCCCCCCCTGTCCCCCCACCTTGTATGACCCAAAATAAATATTTCTATCATAAAAAAAAAAACTTGGGGGTCGACCAATATTCACTTTTACAAATGTGTGTATTTATTTTACTCCTGCAGTGTACACACTTTTCACACAAATACAAAGTCACACACGTTAGGTTCATGGGGAGTCTACAAGTTTTTGCTTCTTTCTTTCTTTGTCATTTTCGGGCTGACAAAAGGTAACTGGAAACACATTTGTAAGTACATATTGAATGTGTAAATATACAACACATGGTGAAACTATGGCCCTTCGTTTTGTTGAGTTCTCTGAGAAAGGACAGGCTATGGATCGGTCGGCACTAGATCATACGGAATCGGGACAGAAGCAGAAGTAAATATAACCAACGACCTAAACTAATAGATCCATGCTTAAACGTAAGCAGCCGTTCTCATAGATTAACCCCAACCCACCCTTAACCCTAACCTTAACCATCTTACTCAGACCCACCTTAACCCTAACCTTAACCATCTTACTCAGACCCACCTTAACCCTAACTTTAACCATCTTACTCAGACCACCTTAACCCTAACCTTAACCATCTTACTCAGACCACCTTAACCCTAACCTTAACCATCTTACTCAGACCACCTTAACACTAACCTTAACCATCTTACTCAGACCACCTTAACCCTAACCTTAACCATCTTACTCAGACCACCTTAACCCTAACCTTAACCATCTTACTCAGACCACCTTAACCCTAACCTTAACCATCTTACTTAGACCACCTTAACACTAACCTTAACCATCTTACTCAGACCACCTTAACACTAACCTTAACCATCTTACTCAGACCACCTTAACCCTAACCTTAACCATCTTACTCAGACCACCTTAACCCTAACCTTAACCATCTTACTCAGACCACCTTAACACTAACCTTAACCATCTTACTCAGACCCACCTTAACCCTAACCTTAACCATCTTACTCATAGGCCACCGTTTTTACATCCTGACACATGTTCTTACCTTAGACTAGTTGATATGAACCTGTCTGGTCTGTGTCCGTGTGCTCTGTCATGCAAACGCAGCACAAACGCAGCCTCTTCCACAGACTGTATAGTACCAAACTCTTCCACGTGTTCCATATTTAAATACAGTTACGTGACGTGTTACTCTACAAAGTATAGTTACACAGAAATGTAACATGTCCATTTTCTCAGCGGATAAAAAAGGGTACTATATTGTGAGGCGTAATAATACGAGGAGCGCTATGACTCCAACAAGTCACGCTGCTTCTATTGACGGGGAGTCAATAGAGCGGGAGGTCCATGGGACCTTCTCCACCGACTTCCGCTGATGTCTGCCGTCGTTGTGTCCTTGGGCAAGGCACTTAACCCCACTTTGCCTGAAGCCCCTGCTGAAAGATCAAGGCTATGCTCTCACTGACAGTGCAGCCATTCTCCTGTGGACCCACCACCTGCAGAGGACCAGTGAGGGTTGGTGCTATGTGACTTGGGTGGGATCACTGATTGCCACTGACCCAAAATGGATCAAGGGGTAGAAAATGGATGGATGGATGACTTGTTTTTAGGTTATTTTTTTAACCCCTATTTTGGTATTTATAGGCCTTAATGGTTACGAAATGGTTGCGATGCAGTTTGATGGTAGAGATGCCCAAAGAGGTAGATTTCCGTTCCAAACTTAATTTAGATATTTTGACTCAAAAGGTGATCTACCAAATGAATGACAAAATCATTAAAGGGTAAAATAGTTTATATTTTCATTAACATTTTCTGACCTTGGTCGATCATCCTGCTCCCTATGGACCTAAGGCTTCTACATATATTTTTTGTTATTATTGCTTCTCCTGTGTTCACATTGTTGTTAGCGAATAGAAAACGTTGCTACGTCTCAGAGCTGCTGCTGTGATTCTGGGCTGTTCAAAAATAACTTGAATCAAACTTTCTTAAACATCTGGGTTGTTTTACAGCTGAGATGAAAGCATGTTCCTGTCCCGCAGCAGATGGAGTGTGTCGTCCAGACAGAGGTTTCCACGTGTTTCATCAGCTCAAACATGGAAGACTTTGTTCTTGACAGCTCTGACCGTTAGGCTCTGTATGAGTGATAAAAACACCATCTTTCATGTTGCAGTGATGCTGTTTTTCAGGCTCTTGGCTCATCAACAGATCACCATGACAAAAGGTGAAACTCGGAAAATTAGAATCGTTCAAAAGTTCAAATTTTTGTTGTTCAAATGTGAAACTAATTTATGATAATGCAAGGGAAGTTTATGTATAGCACAATTCATACATAAGGCAACTCAAAGTACTGAACAAAATAAGAAAGCATTAAAATCATAAATAATCACAGAACATTAAAAAGAAAGATACAAATATAAAATCCCTCAGTTGTAGCACAGCTAAACAGAACTGTCTTTAACCTGGTTTTAAACATTGTCAGAGAGGAGGCCTGTCTCACATCTTCCGGAAGACTGTTCCAGATTTTAGCAGCATGAATCTGAAAAGCAGCCTCCCCATGTTTAGTTCTGACTCTGGGCACTAACAGGAGTCCAGTCCCTGTGCTCCTCAGAGTCCCAGCAGGAGTCCAGTCCCTGTGCTCCTCAGAGTCCCAGCAGGAGTCCAATCCCTGTGCTCCTCAGAGTCCCAGCAGGAGTCCAGTCCCTGTCCTCCTCAGAGTCCCAGCAGGAGTCCAGTCCCTGTGCTCCTCAGAGTCCCAGCAGGAGTCCAGTCCCTGTGCTCCTCATAGTCCCAGCAGGAGGCCAGTCCCTGTGCTCCTCAGAGTCCCAGCAGGAGGCCAGTCCCTGTGCTCCTCAGAGTCCCAGCAGGAGGCCAGTCCCTGTGCTCCTCATAGTCCCAGCAGGAGTCCAGTCCCTGTGCTCCTCATAGTCCCAGCAGGAGTCCAGTCCCTGTGCTCCTCAGAGTCCCAGCAGGAATCCAGTCCCTGTGCTCCTCAGAGTTTGGGCCGGTTCATATGGGACTAACATGTCTTGGACTTTGGTGCGACGCCATGGAGAGACTTGTAACAAACAGATCTGCTTTAAACCTAAGGCCGTCACATTGACTGCTCTGGGAGTTTCCTGTGTTGAAGTGTTAATAATAATAATCCTCTAAATTAACTCAGGACTGACAGTTGCTCTTCCCCGTCGTCCACACACTCAAACTTTTTGACGAAATCTGTGACGACGCCTGTAATGACTGAATATCTCAGCTGAAACTTGGACATAACATTGTAACGATGCGTCTCTCTGGTGGTTTTTTCCTGGCGTGCAGACGGAACATGAGTGAGACGATAACGACATGTGACACTTCATAAATCTATTTCTATCACTCGTCAACTCCACGTCAACCGCGGCGACGATGGGGAGACATCCTAACTCTCCGTCACTATCACTCCAAACTCTGTTATCGATCAGTGAATATACTACACAGGGACAGTTTGGATATATCCTCATAACGTATAATCAACTTTGAAAGACGATTGGGTCTTGACTAAGAAGGACACAATGTAACTGTATTCTTTACTTATGTTTGGGTTTCGATATTGACAGAATCTGCAGCGGTCCCTCGTTCACCACTGGGGTTACGTTCGAAAAGTAACCTATAAGAAGCAAAGGTAAAAGCAAAGTAGCTTCTGTATGTTTCAAGGCAGTAAAACGCCTCACACACACTTTATACCGTATTTTTTGGACTATAAGCCACGGCTTTTTTACTGAAGATTGCGGCTTATAGTCAGGTGCAGCTTAATTAGGATTATTAATTTATTTTTCTGTGGCAAACAACACTAGACCCACAGACTTTGAGTAGTTCACAGAGGTCCAATTAACTCAGAAAAATGGTCAATCAAGCAGAATGAATAAATCAATTATTACTTATATTTTTGTGTAAATATTTCATAAAAATAATTTGTTTTTTGGTTCTTTGCATAAACATCAAAGTGAAAATAGCCCCCGTAGATGTTGCTCTTTACATATCTGCTTCACACTGGAAGATTAAGAACAGTCAGTAAAAGGAAGACTTTTTTGAGCTAAACTTTTCAATTGTTATAATTATAGTGGGGAGCGACAGTAGCTCAGTTGGTAGAGCATTGGCCTTAAGGCCAGAAGGTCGTGGGTCTGCACCTTCTCCACCGACTCCCACAGATGACTGCTGTCGTTGTGTCCTTGGGCAAGACACTTAACCCCACTTTGCCCAAAGCCCCCACTGAAAGATCAAGGCTATGCTCACACTCAGAGAGCAGCCGTCCTCCTGTGGACTCACCACCTGCAGAGGGTCAGTGAGGGGCTGGTGCTATGAGACTTGGGTGGCATCTCTGACTGCCACCCCCCTGACCCAGAAATGGATTAAAGGGTAGAACATGGATGGATAATTATAGTGGTTGCTTTCCCTGTTTATTTACGCACAATTGTTTATTTTTATTTTTATCTCATCAGTTGTTTAATGTATATGCCATTTTCCCCTGAGACTCCATGCCCACTGCTTTTTACTTCTGAAAACCAAAAATCAATAAATACACAGTGTAACTATGTTTAATGATCCTGTAATGTTGCAGAATTAGATTTAAAATATATACTAGGCATGCATAAAAAATCTTCATAAAAAGTCTTGCTTTACCAATATATACACGGGCCCACCAACCCATGGCTTTGTCTCCCTGTTCTCACGTTAATTAATTCTGGGAAAAGTTCTGATTTCCCACTTGGAAAAATGGCTTTAACACGCAGCTTTGGCCCCGATGTAATATTTCCACCATTATTATTAAACCTATTCTTTCTTAGGTCTGCTGTCTTTGGACTCTAATTCCATATGTGTGTATAATCCTTCACTCTAACTCCTGTTTCTGCAGACTAGGCACTTTCTCCGGAGCCCTACACTTTGTCCGCACCAGGGGCCAAAGACCATAAACACCAAAGTTAAGGCGAGAATAAAGGCTTTTCTCACTCCCATAATCTGCAATAACATATTACACCTGCGCTTTTCACCGGCGGTGAGGGATGAACCGGCGCTGTCGTTTCTAACAAATAGCTTTTAGCCGCTGTGGACATTACATTACATTCCAATGGGCCAGAAAGCAAAGGATTGTGGGAAGAGAGAGGGCATGGATTCGGAGCATGAATCATTTTAAAAAGGTCCACAGAGAAACACTTGCAGGGTTATCGAGTGAGATGAAAACAGCAGAGGATCGTAACAACTTTCACAAAGGTATTTTCAAGTCCGCGATTACACGGATATGAGGAAAAATTATTTATTTTTAAGGAAGGAAATAAACGTGTCATAAATACAAATATATTTACGGATAAAGTAAAGCAGCTAGATTATATACTGTACTCCGGGAAGAGTGAGATTTCTTCAAATAATATTACTCTAGTAAGACTAAAATGTAATTTCTACAACTACTCCTACTGTAGGAAGGACTGTATGCTGGTTTTTATGCTAGGTCACAATCAACACAGGGGTCGGTTTAGGACTTGAATTTATATGTTCAGGTGAGTGGAGAGAGAGAGGTGAGAATGTCCACAGCCAGATGATTAGAACAGTGCCTTTAATTTAGACTTCAATCTTGCTTGTGGGTATGCGCATGTGTGTGTGTGTGTGGTATCGTTTATGGACGCACACAGCAATTGTTCACACAAACCCAAAGTCCGTGGCAGAGCCGATGCTATAGCTACATCTGAGCCGTGCTGCTGCCCTTTGTTGACACGCTAGCGCGCCCCTAGTGGTGCACCTCAATATTACGTGCAGAAACTAAACTATGCAGAACAACTATTAAACCTTTTTAGAGGCAGTCTTTAATACAGCCGCCCCCAAATTTGCATTGTAAATTTGACTACTAGGTGTCTGGATGATCCTGGGGCAAAGCTGGCAGCCTGATGAGACGGACCACTGGGCGAGTGTAAGTCCGGTCCTTGACTTGTACGACCGCTGTCCTCACTCTGCCATCTGCTCCGGGTATCACAGTTTTTACTGTCCCTACCTGCCACATGGCTCTGGGCGTTTGCTGATCCACGATGAGCACAACGCTTCCCACGGTGATGTCTTCTTTCTCCGTTTGCCATTTCTGCCGGACTTGTAGAGTGGGCAGAAAGTGCTGAATGAAATGTTTCCAGAAGTGGTCGGCTAAAACTTGTGAGTGCCGCCACCTTTTACGACTCAGCAACTCTGACTCCGGGTAAACCACCTGAGGAAGGGAAGAGTCCGGCCGCCCCATCAACAGGCAGTTGGCGTGACTGGGTCAGGGTCAGCGAGGTCAGACGAAACATAACCCAAGGGTCGGGAGTTGAGAATGCCCTCTACTTCAATGAGGACTGTCATCAGGACTTCCTCTGGCACAGTTTGAGCTCCCAGAGTGGTGCGGAGTGCGGTCTTCACAGATCTCACTTCACGTTCCCACGAGCCTCCAAAATGGGGAGCGTTGGGAGGATTAAAACGAAAGCGGATCTGCTGAGCTGCAAGCTGTTCTTTCACTGCAGGTTCCAAAGCAAGGAAGGCATCATGAAGCTCCTTACTTCCTCCTTTGAAATTGGTGCCCTGATCTGAGAGGAGTTCATAGGGCTTGCCTCTGCGCGAGATGAAGCGCCTGAGTGACATCAGAAACGAGTCGCTGTCCATGTTGGGCAGTAGATCCAAGTGGATAGCTCGAGTAGTAAGGCACTTGTACAGAATGCCCCATCTCTTCTCAGTGCGGCGCCCCACTTTAACAAGCATGGGGCCGAAGCAGTCCACACCTGTAGAGTAGAAGGCAGGTTGGTAAAGTCTCAGCCGGCAGGGGGGTAGATCCGCCATTCTCGGGACTTGGGGCGTGCCTCTCCATTTCTGGCAGTCCACACAATTGCGTTGGTGATTCTTAACTGCTTCTCGGCCTCTGAGTATCCAGTACTTCCTGCGCAGCTCTGCGAACAAGCGTTCAGCTCCAGGGTGGTGCAGCTGGCTGTCGTAATGCTGAATCAGCAGCTTGGAGACCGGATGGGAGGAGGACAGGAGAATGGGATGCAGCACGTCCTGGCTCAGAGTGTCACATCTTCTAAGTCTTCCCCCAACTCGGATCAGCTTGGAGGACCTGTCGTACTCAGGAGACAAAGTTAGTAATCTACTACTAGAAGAAAGGGGCTTACCGGCTTTGAGAAGAGCCACTTCATCAGGGAAGCTTTCAGTTTGTGCTTGTTTTAGGAGAGCCAGCTCTGCCTCTTGGTAGTCATCAGCAGTAGGAGTTGTACCATCGGCCGCCCCGTGCAACTTCTGAGTGGTAGCTTCCAGAAGTTCTTGAAATGTGGTAAACTGCTGGGAATCAGGTACAGCTGGATCTCGGGAGCTGGTTGCTAAGCCACAAAACACAGTGTTTCTTAGCTCTTCCACTTCTTCTGTAACTGGACTAGTTGGACTCTCTGGCCATTGAGCTGGTGGCTGTAGGAGAAAGGAGGGTCCGTGGCTCCATCTGCTCTCACCAGCAAGCTGAGCTAGTGTTTTCCCTCTTGTGATATCGTCTGCAGGGTTTGAGGTGGAGTCAACGTAGCGCCAGGCCTCAACATCCGTAAGCTCCTGAATCTCCGCAACTCTTGTGCCCACAAACACTTTATATCTGCAGGAGTCCGACTGGAGCCAGTTAAGGACTGTGGTAGAATCAGTCCAATAGACCACTGTTTGGATCTTAACTGTGAGCTCTTTTGTGAGGACTGAAGCTAGCTGTGCTCCTGTTAGGGCTCCGCAGAGCTCAAGACGGGGTATGGAGAGTTGTTTCTTTGGTGCGACTCTGGACCTTGCAGCTAGGAATGCCACTTGAACTTGTCCTTCCCCATTGTCTGTGCACAGGTATGCCACGGAGCCATAGGCACGTTCAGATGCGTCAGTGAAGACATGTATGGTCCGGCTACTGTTACTGTGGTCCATGTGACGGTCAGTGTAGCATCTGGGTAATGCAACTTGTGACAACAGTGGAAGCTCCTCTTCCCACCGTCTCCAGGCCTGGACAAGCTCTTCAGGGAGATTAGGGTCGTCCCATCCTCGCTTCTTGTCCCACAGACGCTGTACAATGATCTTAGCTCTGGTTGTGTAAGGAACAATGTATCCTAGAGGATCGTACTGTTGGGCAAGAAGGCGGTAAATGTTACGCATGGTTAGTTCAGGGGACTCACTTGTGTGCTGCTTGTACCGCAGGGTGTCTGACTTGCATTGCCACAGGAGACCAAGAGTGCGTTCTTGGGGGTCTTCTGTCTGCTGTGTGAACCAGAGTGTGCTGTTCTCTGACCTGGATTCCTTTGGCAGATGTTGAATGACTGCAGGAACATTGCTGGCCCATTCTCTAAGCTCAAAGCCACCTTCCATCAGTAGCGTGTGAAGTCGATTCACCAGCTGTTTGGCCTGTGCTTCTGACTGAAGGCTCTGCAAACAGTTATCGACGTAGAAGCAGCGCTCTACTGACATGCGAGCATCCTCCTCTGGTTCAGTGTGTCTCTGAACATGAGTCTGCAGGGCGAAGGTGGCACAACATGGGCTGCATGTTGTACCAAAAGGGAGAACTTGCCACTCAAAGATTGTCGGGTCCTGGTCCACTTTGACATCTCGCCACAGGAAACGAAGGAAGGGTTTGTCCTCCTCAAGCAGGCGCACCTGGTGAAACATTCCTTTCACATCACTGCTGATGGCCACTGGGTGTTCTCTGAACCTGAGCAGGACTCCCAGGAGGCTGGCTCCGAGCGTAGGTCCAGGAAGGAGGTTGTCATTCAGACTCTGTCCATCAAGCGTGAAGGAGCAGTTGAAAACTATCCGGAATTTCTGATTGTGCTGCACAATGTGGTGGGGGATAAACCATGAATAGTTGCTCTCTTCAGCCTTGGCAGGGGTGATAGCTTTGATGTAGCCAGCGTCAATGAGCTTGTGGATCTCCTTAGAGTAAACGGCAGCTTTCTCAGGGTCTCTCACAAGTCGTCTCTCTGTGCCACGCAACTGAGGCATAACTGCTACATTGGATGCTTGGAGTGGGGGGAGATTCTGCTTCCAAAGTAGTGGAGTAGCATACCTGTTCACACCTGCCACCAGGAGTCGTGTGGTCTTCTCCTCCAGCATACGGACTGCCTCTACATCTTGCTTCGACCTGGTAATGAACCGCTCACTTCTGTATGGCAAGATATCTATCTGCCAAAGTTTCTCAACATTGGTGAGGAGCTCAGATTCGGGAGGGCTGCACTTGGTGAAGAGGCATTGCTGTGGGGACAGTTGGTGGTATAAGAGACTTGTGGGGCCTTGCAAAGTCCATCCAAGTCTGGTGTGTACTGCTGCAGGTCCACCTGGGGTGCCGAGACGTACAGGCTCAACTGGTGTTATCAAATGCGGATAATCTGACCCAATCAGCAGTAGTGGCTGGGCATCCTTGATAGTCGACAGTGGAATGTCTCTCAGGTGGCGGTACTTCTCCTGCAGAGCTTGGACTGGATAGGTGTGGCAAGCGAGGTTTAGCTCTCTGGCAGTGAAGGCTTTGTCGATCTTGAAAACCTTCCCTGGTTCTGAAGCAGGGGCTACAGAGAAGGACACGGTGGCTCCGTGGATGGTGCAGACTTCCTGCCGGACTGTGCGGAGTGTGAGGTCCTCAGGTTTCCCATGAATGCCCAAGCTGACAGCAGCATCATTCAGTAGTATTGTGCGCTCCGACCCGTCATCCAATATTGCGTAGGTCTCTAGTACCTTATTGCCGCTATGGAGGATGACTCGGCTCAACTTGAGTAAAACTTGGCGGCTACTGGCTGGACGATCAAGGTACAGGGTCTCTGACACTGAGCTCACAAGGCAGGTGCTTGCTTCTGGTGCTTTGGTGTTAGCAGTTGCTGTGGCGCTTTGGCTGGTGTTCACCTCATGGAGGACGTCCAGGTGCTTCCTCTCGCACTGTTTGCACTTAGCTTTAAGATTGCATTTAGCTGCCTGGTGCTCACGTCCACATCTCCAGCATCTGTTATGCGTTTTAATCCACTGTGTCTTCTGATCCATTGACATGAGTTTGAAGTTGCTGCACTGGTTCATGTAGTGTTGCACTGAATCGCAGAACGGACAGTATTTCTTGGGCTTTTCATTTGTTCCCTCTTTGGCAGGAACTGGAGCACTAGCCATTTTCTCATTTGACTCTACAGACTCACTGCCGAGGAGAATGGTGGTGGACTTCTGTGACTTGTAGTCGGGACGTCGATTCTTAGATGGAGCTTGTCTCTCTCTGGGAGAGTAACTGCTGTGCTGGTCACCGCTGACTTGAATTCTCACCTCATATTCAAGCCAGTCAGCCAGGTCGAGAAGTGTGGGAATAGGAGTGTTGATGGGATTCACATATCGGTGGAAGTTGGCTCTTAGGTCGTGTGGCAACTTGGCTAAGAGGCGAGAGACATGTGAGCCGCATCTCAGCTCTGCGTAACCTTCCCTTCCTAGCTGGTGTAGCATCCCAACTAGTGCACGAACTTGAAGAGCAAATGACTTGAATGCTCTAATGTCTCCAGTCCTTATGTTGGGCCCATCCATCAGATTGGAAATCCTCTTCAGAGCTAGCTGCTGAGGTTGGCCATACATCTCGTTGAGTGCTCTCATGGTATCCGTGAATGGGTACGGACTGTTGCTGTAGGAGTCAGCGATAAGTAGTGCCTCCTCACATTTGAGATGATCTGTGAGTATTTGAAACTTAAAGTGCTCCGAAGCATCATACGAGAGTAGGTTGTCCAGGGCCAGTTTCAGTCTTGCAAACTCACGTGGATCCTCTGTCTTAAAGTCTGGGATAGTCGGCTTGGGTCCGCGATAGGACCCTGATCGGTGTGGTGATCGAGGTGGTGGATCAGGTGAGTATCTACCTTCCCTTGATCTCCTTTCACGTCCATATCCAGAACTGTAATAGTCATCTGGTCGGTCTCGATAACCTGGTGAGTAACCCCTCTCATACCCATAGTAGCGGCTGTCCAGACGAGCTCTGGGACTACTGGGCCGGTAGGATGGAGCAGGATAACTGTACGCACGACTGTACTGTGGGTAACTTGGGCGAGGTGGAGAAGTGCGGTACTTGTCGTCACGGTGATAGGCGCGGCCATCATAGCGATCGTAGTCCTCCTCTTTGTACCGTGGCTTGACATCAGCCCAATCAGTTTTACGGTGAGGGGGGCTATCACCGAACGTGTAGCTCTCTCTAATGGGTAATGGGGAGCCTCTGTCACTATGGCGACGTGACTGATCTGGCGTGGGTGAATGCGCTTGAATCACTTTATCATCTTGTTCATCTTCTTCATCCTTTAATCCCGACTCCTGCAAGCGTCTTCTGAGGTTCTCCACTATGTCATTCCCGATGCCTGGTCGAGTAGGAGAAACTTCTTTTGATCCCTGGTAGGGCACTTAGAGTAGGCGGACGTGGGTCCCAGAAACCACTTGCTGCCGTCTGCTTACTGGTGGGTGCTGGTGTAGAGGTTTCCTTCTGGCGCTCAGGCAGTGACTGGGGGTGTGAGGATGCTGCAGGAGCACTTTGGATCATGTCTACAAGGCGTTGGACATCTCTAGACAGCTTCTGATTTTCCTCTCTCATGTTATGAATGGACCTGATAATCTCTGGAGAAGACAGCCGCTTAGTCTGGTCATCATAGGGTACGTGGTACCTCTCAGGGTAACTGACCTCGTAGTCCCGTAGATATGCTGGCGGCTTCCTGCTTCTCTGTGGGCGGTCCACCTCTCTGGATTCTCGCTCATATGGCCTGAACATATTGACTGCAGTGGTTGCGTAGATCCGGTGAAGGAGGACCAAAATTGTAGGAAGGACTGTATGCTGGTTTTTATGCTAGGTCACAATCAACACAGGGGTCGGTTTAGGACTTGAATTTATATGTTCAGGTGAGTGGAGAGAGAGAGGTGAGAATGTCCACAGCCAGATGATTAGAACAGTGCCTTTAATTTAGACTTCAATCTTGCTTGTGGGTATGCGCATGTGTGTGTGTGTGTGGTATCGTTTATGGACGCACACAGCAATTGTTCACACAAACCCAAAGTCCGTGGCAGAGCCGATGCTATAGCTACATCTGAGCCGTGCTGCTGCCCTTTGTTGACACGCTAGCGCGCCCCTAGTGGTGCACCTCAATATTACGTGCAGAAACTAAACTATGCAGAACAACTATTAAACCTTTTTAGAGGCAGTCTTTAATACACCTACCTCTACTATTGCTTTTACTTCTACTACTACTGCTGCTACTACTACTTGTAGTATTGCTACTACTACAGATTCTACTACCACACACACACACACACACACACGTTTTTGTTACCTGGTGGGTCCCTTTGACAGGGCCGTTCAGAATGGGACCCATAGACATAATCTTTTTTTACTGGGACTACTTTAAGTAATACAAAACAGTCAATAGAAAAACAAACAACTCTTTTAAAGGAATTTTAGTTTTGATATTTTTTTCGAATTGCAGTGATTCTATTTTTGACATAGAATTTAATGCCACTCCATGTCCGATGTCTAAGGTCATCTGGTGAGGCATTAATGCAGGCCAGGCCAGGCCAGGCCAGGCCAGGCAGTGAGACTTCCCAGGGACTTTTCCAGTCTGTATGAAAGGCGTCATGGTCTTCTCCACAGCCTTCACCTCAGATGCAGACCATGGCTTTCTCTAACGTTCTAGGGAGAGAAATAAAAATATATTAGCAATATACACTCCCAGGGTTAGGACCAAGCAGCCTGGCTGTAATCCCCCACCTGGTACACTTACCAGAAGGGGCACTGCCACTACCATGGGGTGCATCTGGATGAATGGTTGAAGGTTCTCCGCTTGAAGTTTCTTTTAGCCCGTCCGTTTGTGAGAGGATCTCTACTGCTCTCCCTGTCGCACAGAAAATAAAAATACAAGTGGCCTTTAGGGGAAAAAAATCATACATATTTTAATAATATCAAGAATTACCTTCAGGCTAAATTTGTATCTGGTCGAGGCTCTTTCCTTTGAATTCCGTCACTCTTCCCTGCTCCATGGCCATCAACACTTTGCTGATTTTGGCCAGCTCCAGTGTCCCCTCTGGTAGTCTGTAATATTGTCTGTGGATGCGAATGTCATGGCCGAGGAAGTTGGCTAGTATGTCCATCTCATTCTCTTTCATATTGAGAACTGTAGACATAGTAGCTATGTGCTTTCTCTAAGTTTGGTTGAGGATAGCATCTCTGGATGCACCGCACCACATTCTTTGGCTACCTGGCGTAGGGAGTCTGATCCCCTGATGTGGGTGTCTGCGCCCGGGCGGGAAAAGAAGTATGGGTTATGGTCAGAGATGGAACAGGCCCTTCTGTTCTCCACCAGCACCTCCATCCAAGCAATCATTTCAGGAGTCAAAAGAACCACCACTTTCCCACTTCTTTTCCCTTTCATTTCAATGCGTTGAAAATGCTGACACAGCTTTTTCTCAAGTTGGGACAGTCCCAGAGCAATGTCAGAATGGATCCCAGTCTTACTTCTTAAGGTAAAGGCTGTCAGTGGCATCTTTGAAACCTCACCTTCCCTTCTTCGATTGAAAATAATGACCTCACAAAGAGTCAAAACTGCCAGTTTAGACCAATGCTTAGACGTTGGCTCACTTATTAGGGTTTGCACATATTCAGGTCGACATACCTCAATATGTGCATGCATGGCTCTAACGTCCTCAGTCAGAGGGAGCAGGTCCGGAGTGTTCCACTTGGCTTGCCGGAGGGTCTGTAGGGCAGCAGAAGAAACACAGACGTCCCACCTCTTCTCAAAAAGCAGCCGGCTTCGTTGGAGGTTTTTAATAAATAGTTCATCAACACAATGCTCCATTTTTGAGTCACATTCAAGAATATCTGCTAGCTTTCTGAGGCTATGGCCGAGTTTGAGGGCCAAGGATGGAGTCTTGTATTGATTTGTTTCCTCATCATATCCAGCCACAGACCTGACTGCATCAATCACATGGTTAAAGTTGGAAGGAATAAAGAAATCCTTAATTGTTTTCAGTTTCCCTGCAGTTTTTGCTTTGTTAATTAACCTACCGACTTCTCTCATTTTCTGCCTAATGTAATCATGCTTAGTCTTATCATGCCCGTGTTTTAAGTACAGGTGCTCTCCGAGTCTCAGAATCCCCTTTTCTGCTTTGACAACACCCGTGACCTCATCCTGATGCATTGCCCAAATTAAAGACCACAGCTTTTTGCTGATCCCTCCGGTACAGGCTGGGCTAGGGAGCAGAGGGACTGGACCCTACTTCTACCTGGTTTAGCCTGGTTTAGCCTGGGCATCTTTCTGTGAAAGCCGGCACCTGGCCACATGCCTCCACAGCGACTTTCGCTTAAGCAATGCCCCACAGTCTATACAGTGCAAAAACTCACTGGATTTAACTGGGCAATTTGGCTGTTTAGCTGGGACTAAAGTTCCAATGCCGGCCTTTAAAACCTCAACATTGTGCTCACGGTTTCCACTATTCCTGATCAAATCAAACTGAAGTTTACGTGCTTTAGATTTCACAGGTAGAGCCAATGCTCTGGCTACGTCACTTTCATTTCCATGTTTTCTAGTCAAATGACGGGACATTTTGTGGCAGGACATTGAACAGTAGAGGCAGAAGTGTCTCTTGCTGTAAACTCGCCCCCCATTTTTCTTCTTTTGCAGCTGCATGATAACAATCTTATTTGCCTTTGGTTCGTCACTTTCCGAGTCTTGAAGAAAAGTGTTTTTGATTTTTCTTTTTCCATACTTTTTTACAGGTTTCTTCTTGACAGTTAAATCGTCAGAATCTGAGTCGACTTCATCAATTAGGGACTCTTGACTAAGCTGCACAAACAACAAATAATTTTTAATAATTCTATATAACAATTTGAAGTCATGACTTGTAGTCAGCACTTACCAGTGGTTTGTAAGCGTGCGCTTCAGTGTGCTCCTCCATGATTTCTTGCAGCCTAATGAACCACACACTTGCACCTTTTTCTAGCCTGACACCTGATTTCCTCTGTTGTGCTGCTCCATGATTGACTCCAGCCTGCTGGACTGAAATTGCCCCAGTGTGCCCCTCCTTGATATCCCGCAACCCACCACCAGGGTTCCGACACAGAACACACTTTTTTCAGGAAAGTAAACCTCCAGGGGTCCTTTCCATATTTTTACAGATACTGCATAAGGACCGTTAGAAAAGCATTACCCATTGATTATTAAGCTTGGACCAGTGGGGTCCGGTGTTCGGGCCCCACCACGTAAAACCAGTCCCCATGACGTGAGTGGAATCTCAGGTTATGGAACCCACCAGGAGTTGAAAACAAGTGCGTGCGCACACACACACACACACACACACACACACACACACACACAAAGTACGTCACTTTAGTCGACACGAGCGAACAGAAATATGTTTTCAGATACTTTGTAATCCTCCTCTGTGACTTAATGATAATAAGGTTGTTTAATGGTTGTTAGGATGGTTGTTACGATGGTTGTTACGGTGGTTGTTACGATGGTTGTTAGGATGGTTGTTACGATGGTTGTTAGGATGGTTGTTACGATGGTTGTTACAATGGTTGTTTAATGGTTGTTACGATGGTTGTTACGATGGTTGTTTAATGGTTGTTACGATGGTTGTTATGGTGGTTGTTACAGTGGTTGTTACGATGGTTGTTACGATGGTTGTTACGATGGTTGTTACAGTGGTTGTTACGGTGGTTGTTACGATGGTTGTTACGATGGTTGTTACGATGGTTGTTACGATGGTTGTTTAATGGTTGTTACGGTGGTTGTTACGATGGTTGTTACGATGGTTGTTTAATGGTTGTTACGATGGTTGTTACAGTGGTTGTTACGGTGGTTGTTACGATGGTTGTTACGATGGTTGTTTAATGGTTGTTACGGTGGTTGTTACGGTGGTTGTTACGATGGTTGTTACGGTGGTTGTTACGGTGGTTGTTAAGTTACAATGGTTACGGTGGTTGTTACGGTGGTTGTTACGATGGTTGTTATGATGGTTGTTACGGTGGTTGTTATGATGGTTGTTACGGTGGTTGTTACGGTGGTTGTTACGGTGGTTGTTACGGTGGTTGTTACGGTGGTTGTTACGTTGGTTGTTATGATGGTTGTTACGGGGGTTGTTATGGTGGTTGTTACAATGGTTGTTACGATGGTTGTTACGATGGTTGTTATGATGGTTGTTACGGTGGTTGTTATGATGGTTGTTACGGTGGTTGTTACGGTGGTTGTTACGGTGGTTGTTACGGTGGTTGTTACGGTGGTTGTTACGTTGGTTGTTATGATGGTTGTTACGGGGGTTGTTATGGTGGTTGTTACGATGGTTGTTACGATGGTTGTTACGATGGTTGTTTAATGGTTGTTACGATGGTTGTTACGGTGGTTGTTACGGTAATTGTTACGGTGGTTGTTACGATGGTTGTTACAGTGGTTTTACGGTGGTTGTTACGATGGTTGTTTAATGGTTGTTACGGTGGTTGTTACGATGGTTGTTACGGTGGTTGTTACGGTGGTTGTTAAGTTACAATGGTTACGATGGTTGTTACAGTGGTTGTTACGGTGGTTGTTACGATGGTTGTTTAATGGTTGTTACGGTGGTTGTTATGATGGTTGTTACGGTGGTTGTTACGGTGGTTGTTACGATGGTTGTTACGGTGGTTGTTACGGTGGTTGTTACGATGGTTGTTACGGTGGTTATTACGGTGGTTGTTACGATGGTTGTTACGATGGTTGTTACGGTGGTTGTTAGGTTACAATGGTTACGTTGGTTGTTACGGTGGTTGTTACGATGGTTGTTACGGTGGTTGTTACGGTGGTTGTTACGATGGTTGTTACAGTGGTTGTTACGGTGGTTGTTACGGTGGTTGTTACGGTGGTTGTTAGGTTACAATGGTTACGTTGGTTGTTACGGTGGTTGTTACGATGGTTGTTACGGTGGTTGTTACGGTGGTTGTCACGATGGTTGTTTGATGGTTGTTACGATGGTTGTTTAATGGTTGTTACAATGGTTGTTACGGTGGTTGTTACGATGGTTGTTACGATGGTTGTTACGGTGGTTGCTACGGTGGTTGTTACGGTGGTTGTTACGATGGTTGTTTAATGGTTGTTACGGTGGTTGTTACGGTGGTTGTTACGGTGGTTGTTATGGTGGTTGTTATGGTGGTTGTTACGATGGTTGTTACGGTGATTGTTACGGTGGTTGTTTAATGGTTGTTTAATGGTTGTTACGATGGTTGTTTAATGGTTGTTACGGTGGTTGTTACGGTGGTTGTTACAGTGGTTGTTACGATGGTTGTTACGATGGTTGTTTAATGGTTGTTACGGTGGTTGTTACGGTGGTTTTTACGGTGGTTGTTACGGTGGTTGTTATGATGGTTGTTATGATGGTTGTTACGGTGGTTGTTACGGTGGTTCTTACAATGGTTGTTACAGTGGTTGTTACGGTGGTTGTTATGATGGTTGTTACGATGGTTGTTACGGTGGTTTTTACGGTGGTTGTTACGGTGGTTGTTATGATGGTTGTTATGATGGTTGTTACGGTGGTTGTTACGGTGGTTCTTACAATGGTTGTTACAGTGGTTGTTACGGTGGTTGTTATGATGGTTGTTACGATGGTTGTTACGGTGGTTGTTACGATGGTTGTTTAATGGTTGTTACGGTGGTTGTTACGATGGTTGTTACGGTGGTTGTTACGGTGGTTGTTACGATGGTTGTTACGGTGGTTGTTACGGTGGTTGTTAAGTTACAATGGTTACGTTGGTTGTAATGATGGTTGTTACGGTGGTTGTTACGGTGGTTGTTACGGTGGTTGTTATGATGGTTGTTACGGTGGTTGTTATGATGGTTGTTACGGTGGTTGTTACGGTGGTTGTTACGGTGGTTGTTACGGTGGTTGTTACGTTGGTTGTTATGATGGTTGTTACGGGGGTTGTTATGGTGGTTGTTACGATGGTTGTTACGATGGTTGTTACGATGGTTGTTTAATGGTTGTTACGATGGTTGTTACGGTGGTTGTTACGGTAATTGTTACGGTGGTTGTTACGATGGTTGTTACAGTGGTTTTTACGGTGGTTGTTACGATGGTTGTTTAATGGTTGTTACGGTGGTTGTTACGGTGGTTGTTACGGTGGTTGTTACGGTGGTTGTTAAGTTACAATGGTTACGATGGTTGTTACAGTGGTTGTTACGGTGGTTGTTACGATGGTTGTTTAATGGTTGTTACGGTGGTTGTTATGATGGTTGTTACGGTGGTTGTTACGGTGGTTGTTACGATGGTTGTTACGGTGGTTGTTACGGTGGTTGTTACGATGGTTGTTACGGTGGTTATTACGGTGGTTGTTACGGTGGTTGTTACGGTGGTTGTTACGGTGGTTGTTACGGTGGTTGTTAGGTTACAATGGTTACGTTGGTTGTTACGGTGGTTGTTACGATGGTTGTTACGGTGGTTGTTACGGTGGTTGTTACGATGGTTGTTACAGTGGTTGTTACGGTGGTTGTTACGGTGGTTGTTACGGTGGTTGTTAGGTTACAATGGTTACGTTGGTTGTTACGGTGGTTGTTGCGATGGTTGTTACGGTGGTTGTTACGGTGGTTGTCACGATGGTTGTTTGATGGTTGTTACGATGGTTGTTTAATGGTTGTTACAATGGTTGTTACGGTGGTTGTTACGATGGTTGTTACAATGGTTGTTACGGTGGTTGCTACGGTGGTTGTTACGGTGGTTGTTACGGTGGTTGTTACGATGGTTGTTTAATGGTTGTTACGGTGGTTGTTACGGTGGTTGTTATGGTGGTTGTTATGGTGGTTGTTACGATGGTTGTTACGGTGATTGTTACGGTGGTTGTTTAATGGTTGTTTAATGGTTGTTACGATGGTTGTTTAATGGTTGTTACGGTGGTTGTTACGGTGGTTGTTACAGTGGTTGTTACGATGGTTGTTACGATGGTTGTTTAATGGTTGTTACGGTGGTTGTTACGGTGGTTTTTACGGTGGTTGTTACGGTGGTTGTTATGATGGTTGTTATGATGGTTGTTACGGTGGTTGTTACGGTGGTTCTTACAATGGTTGTTACAGTGGTTGTTACGATGGTTGTTACGGTGGTTTTTACGGTGGTTGTTACGGTGGTTGTTATGATGGTTGTTATGATGGTTGTTACGGTGGTTGTTACGGTGGTTCTTACAATGGTTGTTACAGTGGTTGTTACGGTGGTTGTTACGGTGGTTGTTACGATGGTTGTTACGGTGGTTGTTACGGTGGTTGTTACGGTGGTTGTTATGATGGTTGTTACGGTGGTTGTTACGGTGGTTGTTACGATGGTTGTTACGATGGTTGTTACGGTGGTTGTTACGGTGGTTGTTACGGTGGTTGTTATTATGGTTTTTACGGTGGTTGTTAGGGTGGTTGTTACAATGGTTGTTACAATGGTTGTTACGATGGTTTTTACGGTGGTTGTTACGATGGTTGTTAGGGTGGTTGTTACGATGGTTGTTACGATGGTTGTTAGGATGGTTGTTAGGGTGGTTGTTAGGATGGTTTTCCTAAACAGGTCAGACATAGCACAGTTCATTTGGAAACTTATATTTTTATGCATTCTTGCGTAAATAGAGCCATTAATTGGCTCTGATTCACATTTTGTTGAGAATATTGGGCTATTGTTATAAACAACAGTTAAAAAACAGTTTTAATGAAATACATGTTAATTTGTAATGGCTCATTGCTATAATTTCTCAATGTATTTTATTTACAATTGCAAAAGGTCTTCTTGTGTTTTGTTGTTGGTGTTTTGGGCTATTGTTCAATAAATATCTAAATGTTAACCTTTATCTGACAGTTGTATTTATCACTAAAATTGCATGGACTGGAGTTTGTTTAGTTGAAAGTAGCTTCTATATATCAAGCTACTTTTGACAGGACTTTGTAACTTAGCTACATTTTCATTGGTGGTAGCCATGGATCTATTATAATAACTGGATAGAGTAATACTAGCTTTGAGCTGAAGGATCCATGTGATTGGGGGATTCTCTGTACTGCAGACCATACCAGACTAAACCAGACTAAATTCACATGGGCTACCCAGACATGTTCCCATAGAACTCAATGTAAACTAAAACATCTCAACCTCAGCTGACAGAGAACCTGACAGAGAACCTGACAGAGAACCTGAAAGAGAACCTGACAGAGAACCTGACAGAGAACCTGAAAGAGAACCTGACAGAGAACCTGACAGAGAACCTACAGCTTTCATAAAGGTCAGATTTTGTGGGGATTTTAGTGTCCCTTGTCGTCCTGAACTTTTTTTCTTCTTAAATCCTTCGGTTTTCTTTAAATCCACACTTTACTGCCACAAACTCTGCTCCCTGCCTTCCCCCTCTGACTCCGCTCTTCCGCTGCTCTGATCAGCTCTGATTGGTCAGAGCGCGGCCGAGCCCCTCTGTGCACGTCCATGAGAGCCACACACGCGTATTTGGCGCAAAGCATCATGGGTGCTCGTCCACTGCACAGAACCGGGAGGACCAGACAATGCCCAAATATGGGCGAGTTCCGCTAATCTATCAGCGCCCATGGGGGCACATGCGTCACTGAGCACAAACCATTCATTTGAATAGGACGCCATCTTCGATCACCGGGGCCATCATATAAATGAAAGGGCCGCGTTCCTGTATTAGTAATACTTTGTTGCTATGGAGGTGTCCTGATGCCTACATCTCCTGATGTCTACATTTCCTGTTTCCTACGTCTCCTGATGCCTATATTTCCTGATGCCTACATCTCCTGATGCCTACTTTTCCTGATGCCTATGTCTTCTGATACCTACGTCTCCTGATGCCTACGTCTCCTGATGCCTACGTCTCCTGATGCTTACCTTTCCTGATGCCTATGTCTCCTTATGCTTACCTTTCCTGATGCCTACATGGCCTAATGGGCGGTACGGTGGCTGAGTGGATAGCACTCTCGCCTCTCAGCAAGAAGGTCCTGGGTTCAAATCCCGGTCGGACCAGGGCCTTTCTGAGTGGAGTTTGCATGTTCTCCCCGTGTCTGCGTAGGTTTCCTCCGGGTACTCCGGTTTCCCCTACCACTAAAAATATGTCCAATAGTTCTGGCATGCGCCTCCTGTACTGGCCCCGCTCCCATCTCTGTGTGGAGTGAGAGACTAATGCCCAAAATCAACAATTGTAAACCGCTTTGAGACTCAGATCTGCAGTGAAAAGGCGGTATATAAATAAAGATTACTTACTTACTTACTTACTTACCTAATGCCTACGTGGCTCTGAATGTACCTTCCTTCGATGCCTACAAATCCTCCTTACGTGGATAGTTGTCTATGAATTTGGACTCAGCCATAGACTGTATACAGATCAGTGTGGGCGGGTCCCGACTCAAAAGTGGCCAAAATGATGTGCGCTGACATGCTGCAATACCACCCCGGGCCTGTGGGGGTGGACCCGTAATAAGAATTAGCCAATGCTAACATATAGCATTAGCTGACCTCTAGAAAACGTCTTTACAGGATGGTCCAAAAGTTGGCTCTTGGCCCAAAGCTCCGTTCCACATGTGTGTCAATGCTGAGTGTTCTGGACCAGTCTAGTTTAGTCGCTGTGGACTTTAGAAGTCTCTCGTTTAAATGAATGGAGCTCTCGCCGGCTGACGCATGCGCAGATGCGTTTTTTCACAATTTTCTTGTGGGCGGGACCACTCGCGGCCATTTTGGATAGCTCCAGTAGAGCACTATTTTTGGCCCATTAGTTAGAACGGCGGAGATAGACGTGACCACGTCCATTATTTTTTACAGTCTATGATACAGATGGACAATGCTAGCCCGTTAGCTCAATGACATGGGAAGTGCTCATGAACAAAGTATTGCTCCAACTCACTCAGGCTCCTATTGACCATTACACACTCGGTGGCTTAGTGATCTCTGTGATTCAGACAGAGCCACACAAGGATTGACCAATCGTTTGCTTTCGTTCGCTGGTGAAACTATATCGTAGTATGATCGGATACAATACATTTGAACGTCATGTTCTCAGTGAACTCCTGGAGAATAATTGTATCACTCTTGTGTTTGACAGACACTGAATTGAATGTCTTGGACCTTTTTTTTTTTTTTACTGAAAGCCCATAGTCATGAGCTTTGGGTAATGACCGAAAGAACGAGATCGCGGATACAAGTGGTCGAAATGAGCTTCCTCCGCAGAGTGGCTGCTCCCTTAGAGATAGGATCAGGAGCTCAGGTACACGGGAGGTAGAGCCCTGCACGGGCCTATTATCTGGGCCCGAGCCCGGCCCTGGCCCGAGGGGGTGGCGCCCCAGCCCGGCCCGGCCCGATATGGTTTCTGAATTTTCAGGCCCGAAACCCGCATCAAGCCCGCCTTTTTTTTTTTTTTTTGTAACCTCCCATAACAATGTTTTAGCGTAGTATATAGTGCCGTGCACTGATATGAACGCAGACTTAGCTAGAGGGCGGAGTTATACATGGTAGTGATGTGTTGCAATGAGTTCTGTGTGTGCGGAGTGAACGGCCGCATCTGTATGATACACAGCTGTATGATACACAGCTGTATGATACACAGCTGTATGATACACAGCTGTATGATACACAGCTGTATGATACACAGCTGTATGATACACAGATGCTGCAACACACCTGTAAGTAACGCTATGTGCCGTCAATGACAACACTACACAGAACAACAAACACTACAGCGTGATAGAACGCTATATTCAGTGGGTGCGTTCGTAAATCTATTCTGCCGCTCTGAAAATGAAGAGCCCGAGCCCGGCCCGTGTCCGAGGTCATTATGCGGTCATCGGCCCGAAGCCCGGCCCTCGGGCTGTCGGGCCGTCGGGGCCCTCGGGCCAAGGGCTCAAGTGCAGGGCTCTAACGGGAGGTGCTCAGAATAGAGCCGCTGGGGTGTGTGTGAATGGTTGGTGGTGGTGGGAGGGGCCGATGGCACAGACTGGTTGCCTGGCTTCTGTCAGTGTGCCCCAGGGCAGCTGTGGCTACAGTAGTAGTTTATTACCACCATGTTTGGAGAGAATGAATAATGAAGTGTGAAGCATCTTTTAGAGTCCAAAAAAGCGCTATATAAAACCGATGCATTATTATTATTATTATAAAATGAGGAACACAACAAAACAAACAGTAGTATTAATAATATTATTTTATTATTTTATTTTAATTTTTAAACAGAGAAACCAATGATTGAACGATTCACAGATTTGCAGAGAAATAAGGTTTTTGTTTGATGCAGGAGGGTCTGTTGGGCAGTTAGTGTCCAACTAGGACTGTGGTGATGATCCAGGACACTTTAACATTCTACAACATGTATGACATTTATCAACATGTGTTCTATATTCTTTATGTGATTTAACTGTTGATTCTCTGGGAATCAACAGTTAAAACAGTGGGAAAGGTAGTGTCCACTGGGCTGGAGACGTGTGAGGAGGTGCATGGGGAAGGTAGTGTCCACTGGGTTAGAGATGTGTGAGGAGTGGGAAGGTAGTGTCCACTGGTTAGAGATGTGTGAGGAGGTGGGAGGTAGTGTCCACTGGGTTAGAGATGTGTGAGGAGTGGAGGTAGTGCACTGGTAGAGGTGTGAGGTGGGAGGTAGTGTCCACTGGGTTAGAGATGTGAGGAGGTGGAAGTAGACGGTTAGAGAGGAGGAGGTGGAGGTAGTGTCCACTGGGTTAGAGATGTGTGAGGAGGTGGGGAAGGTAGTGTCCACTGGGTTAGAGACGTGTGAGGAGGTGGAGAAGGTAGTGTCCACTGGGTTAGAGATGTGTGAGGAGGTGGGGGAAAGGTAGTGTCCACTGGGTTAGAGACGTGTGAGGAGGTGGGGAAGGTAGTGTCCACTGGGTTAGAGATGTGTGAGGAGGTGGGGAAGGTAGTGTCCACTGGGTTAGAGACGTGTGAGGAGGTGGGGAAGGTAGTGTCCACTGGGTTAGAGACGTGTGGGAGGTGGGGAAGGTAGTGTCCACTGGGTTAGAGATGTGTGAGGAGGTGGGGAAGGTAGTGTCCACTGGGTTAGAGAGTGTGTGAGGAGGTGGGGAAGGTAGTGTCCACTGGGTTAGAGATGTGTGAGGAGGTGGGGAAGGTAGTGTCCACTGGGTTAGAGACGTGTGAGGAGGTGGGGAAGGTAGTGTCCACTGGGTTAGAGAGTGTGAGGAGGTGGGGAAGGTAGTGTCCACTGGGTTAGAGACGTGTGAGGAGGTGGGGAAGGTAGTGTCCACTGGGTTAGAGATGTGTGAGGAGGTGGGGAAGGTAGTGTCCACTGGGCTGGAGACGTGTGAGGAGGTGGGGAAGGTAGTGTCCACTGGGTTAGAGACGTGTGAGGAGGTGGGGAAGGTAGTGTCCACTGGGTTAGAGACGTGTGAGGAGGTGGGGAAGGTAGTGTCCACTGGGTTAGAGATGTGTGAGGAGGTGGGGAAGGTAGTGTCCACTGGGTTAGAGACGTGTGAGGAGGTGGGGAAGGTAGTGTCCACTGGGTTAGAGATGTGTGAGGAGGTGGGGAAGGTAGTGTCCACTGGGTTGGAGACGTGTGAGGAGGTGGGGAAGGTAGTGTCCACTGGGTTAGAGATGTGTGAGGAGGTGGGGAAGGTAGTGTCCACTGGGTTAGAGAGTGTGAGGAGGTGGGGAAGGTAGTGTCCACTGGGTTAGAGATGTGTGAGGAGGTGGGGAAGGTAGTGTCCACTGGGTTAGAGATGTGTGAGGAGGTGGGGAAGGTAGTGTCCACTGGGTTAGAGATGTGTGAGGAGGTGGGGAAGGTAGTGTCCACTGGGTTAGAGATGTGTGAGGAGGTGGGGAAGGTAGTGTCCACTGGGCTGGAGACGTGTGAGGAGGTGGGGAAGGTAGTGTCCACTGGGTTAGAGATGTGTGAGGAGGTGGGGAAGGTAGTGTCCACTGGGTTAGAGAGTGTGAGGAGGTGGGGAAGGTAGTGTCCACTGGGTTAGAGATGTGTGAGGAGGTGGGGAAGGTAGTGTCCACTGGGTTAGAGACGTGTGAGGAGGTGGGGAAGGTAGTGTCCACTGGGTTAGAGATGTGTGAGGAGGTGGGGAAGGTAGTGTCCACTGGGTTAGAGATGTGTGAGGAGGTGGGGAAGGTAGTGTCCACTGGGTTAGAGATGTGTGAGGAGGTGGGGAAGGTAGTGTCCACTGGGTTAGAGACTGTGTGAGGAGGTGGGGAAGGTAGTGTCCACTGGGTTAGAGACGTGTGAGGAGGTGGGGAAGGTAGTGTCCACTGGGTTAGAGAGTGTGAGGAGGTGGGAAGGTAGTGTCCACTGGGTTAGAGATGTGTGAGGAGGTGGGAAGGTAGTGTCCACTGGGTTAGAGACGTGTGAGGAGGTGGGAGGTAGTGTCCACTGGGTTAGAGATGTGTGAGGAGGTGGGGAAGGTAGTGTCCACTGGGTTAGAGATGTGTGAGGAGGTGGGAGGTAGTGTCCACTGGGTGAGGTGAGGGGGGGAGGTAGTGTCCACTGGGTTAGAGATGTGTGAGGAGGTGGGGAAGGTAGTGTCCACTGGGTTAGAGAGTGTGAGGAGGTGGGAAGGTAGTGTCCACTGGGTTAGAGATGTGTGAGGAGGTGGGAAGGTAGTGTCCACTGGGTTAGAGACGTGTGAGGAGGTGGGGAAGGTAGTGTCCACTGGGTTAGAGATGTGTGAGGAGGTGGGGAAGGTAGTGTCCACTGGGTTAGAGATGTGTGAGGAGGTGGGGAAGGTAGTGTCCACTGGGTTAGAGATGTGTGAGGAGGTGGGGAAGGTAGTGTCCACTGGGTTAGAGACGTGTGGGAGGTGGGGAAGGTAGTGTCCACTGGGTTAGAGACGTGTGAGGAGGTGGGGAGGGTAGTGTCCACTGGGCTGGAGACGTGTGAGGAGGTGGGGAAGGTAGTGTCCACTGGGTTAGAGATGTGTGAGGAGGTGGGGAAGGTAGTGTCCACTGGGTTAGAGACGTGTGAGGAGGTGGGGAAGGTAGTGTCCACTGGGCTGGAGACGTGTGAGGAGGTGGGGAAGGTAGTGTCCACTGGGTTAGAGATGTGTGAGGAGGTGGGGAAGGTAGTGTCCACTGGGTTAGAGATGTGTGAGGAGGTGGGGAAGGTAGTGTCCACTGGGTTAGAGATGTGTGAGGAGGTGGGGACGGTAGTGTCCACTGGGTTAGAGATGTGTGAGGAGGTGGGGAAGGTAGTGTCCACTGGGCTGGAGACGTGTGAGGAGGTGGGGACGGTAGTGTCCACTGGGTTAGAGATGTGTGAGGAGGTGGGGAAGGTAGTGTCCACTGGGTTAGAGATGTGTGAGGAGGTGGGGAAGGTAGTGTCCACTGGGTTAGAGACGTGTGAGGAGGTGGGGAAGGTAGTGTCCACTGGGTTAGAGATGTGTGAGGAGGTGGGGAAGGTAGTGTCCACTGGGTTAGAGATGTGTGAGGAGGTGGGGAAGGTAGTGTCCACTGGGTTAGAGATGTGTGAGGAGGTGGGGACGGTAGTGTCCACTGGGTTAGAGATGTGTGAGGAGGTGGGGAAGGTAGTGTCCACTGGGCTGGAGACGTGTGAGGAGGTGGGGAAGGTAGTGTCCACTGGGTTAGAGATGTGTGAGGAGGTGGGGAAGGTAGTGTCCACTGGGTTAGAGACGTGTGAGGAGGTGGGGAAGGTAGTGTCCACTGGGCTGGAGACGTGTGAGGAGGTGGGGAAGGTAGTGTCCACTGGGTTAGAGACGTGTGAGGAGGTGGGGAAGGTAGTGTCCACTGGGCTGGAGATGTGTGAGGAGGTGGGGAAGGTAGTGTCCACTGGGTTAGAGATGTGTGAGGAGGTGGGGAAGGTAGTGTCCACTGGGTTAGAGACGTGTGAGGAGGTGGGGAAGGTAGTGTCCACTGGGCTGGAGACGTGTGAGGAGGGTGGGGAAGGTAGTGTCCACTGGGTTAGAGACGTGTGAGGAGGTGGGGACGGTAGTGTCCACTGGGTTAGAGATGTGTGAGGAGGTGGAGAAGGTAGTGTCCACTGGGTTAGAGATGTGTGAGGAGGTGGGAAGGTAGTGTCCACTGGGCTGGAGATGTGTGAGGAGGTGGGGAAGGTAGTGTCCACTGGGCTGGAGACGTGTGAGGAGGTGGGGAAGGTAGTGTCCACTGGGTTAGAGACGTGTGAGGAGGTGGGGAAGGTAGTGTCCACTGGGTTAGAGATGTGTGAGGAGGTGGGGAAGGTAGTGTCCACTGGGTTAGAGATGTGTGAGGAGGTGGGGAAGGTAGTGTCCACTGGGTTAGAGACGTGTGAGGAGGTGGGGAAGGTAGTGTCCACTGGGTTAGAGATGTGTGAGGAGGTGGGGAAGGTAGTGTCCACTGGGTTAGAGATGTGTGAGGAGGTGGGGAAGGTAGTGTCCACTGGGTTAGAGATGTGTGAGGAGGTGGAGAAGGTAGTGTCCACTGGGCTGGAGACGTGTGAGGAGGTGGGGAAGGTAGTGTCCACTGGGTTAGAGACGTGTGAGGAGGTGGGAAAGGTAGTGTCCACTGGGTTAGAGATGTGTGAGGAGGTGGGGAAGGTAGTGTCCACTGGGTTAGAGATGTGTGAGGAGGTGGGGAAGGTAGTGTCCACTGGGTTAGAGATGTGTGAGGAGGTGGAGAAGGTAGTGTCCACTGGGTTAGAGATGTGTGAGGAGGTGGGGACGGTAGTGTCCACTGGGTTAGAGATGTGTGAGGAGGTGGGGAAGGTAGTGTCCACTGGGTTAGAGATGTGTGAGGAGGTGGGGAAGGTAGTGTCCACTGGGTTAGAGATGTGTGAGGAGGTGGGGACGGTAGTGTCCACTGGGTTAGAGATGTGTGAGGAGGTGGGGAAGGTAGTGCCACTGGGCTGGAGACGTGTGAGGAGGTGGGGACGGTAGTGTCCACTGGGTTAGAGATGTGTGAGGAGGTGGGGAAGGTAGTGTCCACTGGGCTGGAGACGTGTGAGGAGGTGGGGACGGTAGTGTCCACTGGGTTAGAAATGTGTGAGGAGGTGGGGAAGGTAGTGTCCACTGGGCTGGAGACGTGTGAGGAGGTGGAGAAGGTAGTGTCCACTGGGTTAGAGACGTGTGAGGAGGTGGGGAAGGTAGTGTCCACTGGGTTAGAGACGTGTGAGGAGGTGGGGAAGGTAGTGTCCACTGGGCTGGAGACGTGTGAGGAGGTGAGGAAGGTAGTGTCCACTGGGTTAGAGATGTGTGAGGAGGTGGAGAAGGTAGTGTCCACTGGGTTAGAGACGTGTGAGGAGGTGGGGAAGGTAGTGGTCCACTGGGCTGGAGACGTGTGAGGAGGTGGGGAAGGTAGTGTCCACTGGGTTAGAGATGTGTGAGGAGGTGGGGAAGGTAGTGTCCACTGGGCTGGAGACGTGTGAGGAGGTGGGGACGGTAGTGTCCACTGGGTTAGAGATGTGTGAGGAGGTGGGGAAGGTAGTGTCCACTGGGCTGGAGACGTGTGAGGAGGTGGAGAAGGTAGTGTCCACTGGGTTAGAGACGTGTGAGGAGGTGGGGAAGGTAGTGTCCACTGGGTTAGAGACGTGTGAGGAGGTGGGGAAGGTAGTGTCCACTGGGCTGGAGACGTGTGAGGAGGTGGGGAAGGTAGTGTCCACTGGGTTAGAGATGTGTGAGGAGGTGGAGAAGGTAGTGTCCACTGGGTTAGAGACGTGTGAGGAGGTGGGGAAGGTAGTGTCCACTGGGCTGGAGACGTGTGAGGAGGTGGGGAAGGTAGTGTCCACTGGGTTAGAGATGTGTGAGGAGGTGGAGAAGGTAGTGTCCACTGGGCTGGAGACGTGTGAGGAGGTGGGGAAGGTAGTGTCCACTGGGTTAGAGACGTGTGAGGAGGTGGAGAAGGTAGTGTCCACTGGGCTGGAGATGTGTGAGGAGGTGGGGAAGGTAGTGTCCACTGGGCTGGAGACGTGTGAGGAGGTGGGGAAGGTAGTGTCCACTGGGTTAGAGATGTGTGAGGAGGTGGGGAAGGTAGTGTCCACTGGGTTAGAGATGTGTGAGGAGGTGGGGAAGGTAGTGTCCACTGGGTTAGAGATGTGTGAGGAGGTGGAGAAGGTAGTGTCCACTGGGTTAGAGACGTGTGAGGAGGTGGGGAAGGTAGTGTCCACTGGGTTAGAGATGTGTGAGGAGGTGGGGAAGGTAGTGTCCACTGGGCTGGAGACGTGTGAGGAGGTGGGGAAGGTAGTGTCCACTGGGTTAGAGACGTGTGAGGAGGTGGGGAAGGTAGTGTCCACTGGGCTGGAGACGTGTGAGGAGGTGGAGAAGGTAGTGTCCACTGGGTTAGAGATGTGTGAGGAGGTGGGGAAGGTAGTGTCCACTGGGCTGGAGATGTGTGAGGAGGTGGGGAAGGTAGTGTCCACTGGGCTGGAGACGTGTGAGGAGGTGGGGAAGGTAGTGTCCACTGGGCTGGAGACGTGTGAGGAGGTGGAGAAGGTAGTGTCCACTGGGCTGGAGACGTGTGAGGAGGTGGGAAAGGTAGTGTCCACTGGGTTAGAGATGTGTGAGGAGGTGGGGACGGTAGTGTCCACTGGGTTAGAGATGTGTGAGGAGGTGGGGAAGGTAGTGTCCACTGGGCTGGAGACGTGTGAGGAGGTGGGAAAGGTAGTGTCCACTGGGTTAGAGATGTGTGAGGAGGTGGGGACGGTAGTGTCCACTGGGTTAGAGATGTGTGAGGAGGTGGGGACGGTAGTGTCCACTGGGTTAGAGACGTGTGAGGAGGTGGGGAAGGTAGTGTCCACTGGGTTAGAGATGTGTGAGGAGGTGGGGAAGGTAGTGTCCACTGGGTTAGAGACGTGTGAGGAGGTGGGGAAGGTAGTGTCCACTGGGTTAGAGACGTGTGAGGAGGTGGGGAAGGTAGTGTCCACTGGGTTAGAGATGTGTGAGGAGGTGGGGAAGGTAGTGTCCACTGGGTTAGAGATGTGTGAGGAGGTGGGGAAGGTAGTGTCCACTGGGTTAGAGATGTGTGAGGAGGTGGGGAAGGTAGTGTCCACTGGGTTAGAGACGTGTGAGGAGGTGGGGAAGGTAGTGTCCACTGGGTTAGAGATGTGTGAGGAGGTGGGGACGGTAGTGTCCACTGGGTTAGAGATGTGTGAGGAGGTGGGGACGGTAGTGTCCACTGGGTTAGAGACGTGTGAGGAGGTGGAGAAGGTAGTGTCCACTGGGTTAGAGATGTGTGAGGAGGTGGGGACGGTAGTGTCCACTGGGCTGGAGACGTGTGAGGAGGTGGGGACGGTAGTGTCCACTGGGTTAGAGACGTGTGAGGAGGTGGGGACGGTAGTGTCCACTGGGTTAGAGACGTGTGAGGAGGTGGGGACGGTAGTGTCCACTGGGCTGGAGATGTGTGAGGAGGTGGGGAAGGTAGTGTCCACTGGGTTAGAGATGTGTGAGGAGGTGGGGAAGGTAGTGTCCACTGGGTTAGAGACGTGTGAGGAGGTGGGGAAGGTAGTGTCCACTGGGTTAGAGATGTGTGAGGAGGTGGGGACGGTAGTGTCCACTGGGTTAGAGACGTGTGAGGAGGTGGAGAAGGTAGTGTCCACTGGGTTAGAGATGTGTGAGGAGGTGGGGACGGTAGTGTCCACTGGGTTAGAGACGTGTGAGGAGGTGGGGACGGTAGTGTCCACTGGGTTAGAGACGTGTGAGGAGGTGGAGAAGGTAGTGTCCACTGGGTTAGAGATGTGTGAGGAGGTGGGGACGGTAGTGTCCACTGGGCTGGAGACGTGTGAGGAGGTGGGGACGGTAGTGTCCACTGGGTTAGAGACGTGTGAGGAGGTGGGGACGGTAGTGTCCACTGGGTTAGAGACGTGTGAGGAGGTGGGGACGGTAGTGTCCACTGGGTTAGAGACGTGTGAGGAGGTGGGGAAGGTAGTGTCCACTGGGCTGGAGACGTGTGAGGAGGTGGGGAAGGTAGTGTCCACTGGGTTAGAGATGTGTGAGGAGGTGGAGAAGGTAGTGTCCACTGGGCTGGAGACGTGTGAGGAGGTGGGGAAGGTAGTGTCCACTGGGTTAGAGATGTGTGAGGAGGTGGGGACGGTAGTGTCCACTGGGTTAGAGACGTGTGAGGAGGTGGGGAAGGTAGTGTCCACTGGGTTAGAGACGTGTGAGGAGGTGGGAAAGGTAGTGTCCACTGGGCTGGAGACGTGTGAGGAGGTGGGGAAGGTAGTGTCCACTGGGTTAGAGATGTGTGAGGAGGTGGGGAAGGTAGTGTCCACTGGGTTAGAGACGTGTGAGGAGGTGGGGAAGGTAGTGTCCACTGGGCTGGAGACGTGTGAGGAGGTGGGGAAGGTAGTGTCCACTGGGTTAGAGACGTGTGAGGAGGTGGGGAAGGTAGTGTCCACTGGGTTAGAGATGTGTGAGGAGGTGGGGACGGTAGTGTCCACTGGGTTAGAGACGTGTGAGGAGGTGGGGAAGGTAGTGTCCACTGGGTTAGAGACGTGTGAGGAGGTGGGAAAGGTAGTGTCCACTGGGCTGGAGACGTGTGAGGAGGTGGGGAAGGTAGTGTCCACTGGGTTAGAGATGTGTGAGGAGGTGGGGAAGGTAGTGTCCACTGGGTTAGAGACGTGTGAGGAGGTGGGGAAGGTAGTGTCCACTGGGCTGGAGACGTGTGAGGAGGTGGGAAAGGTAGTGTCCACTAGGCTGGAGACGTGTGAGGAGGTGGAGAAGGTAGTGTCCACTGGGTTAGAGACGTGTGAGGAGGTGGGAAAGGTAGTGTCCACTGGGCTGGAGACGTGTGAGGAGGTGGGGAAGGTAGTGTCCACTGGGTTAGAGATGTGTGAGGAGGTGGGGAAGGTAGTGTCCACTGGGTTAGAGATGTGTGAGGAGGTGGAGAAGGTAGTGTCCACTGGGTTAGAGACGTGTGAGGAGGTGGGGAAGGTAGTGTCCACTGGGCTGGAGACGTGTGAGGAGGTGGGAAAGGTAGTGTCCACTGGGTTAGAGACGTGTGAGGAGGTGGGGAAGGTAGTGTCCACTGGGCTGGAGACGTGTGAGGAGGTGGGAAAGGTAGTGTCCACTGGGCTGGAGACGTGTGAGGAGGTGGGGAAGGTAGTGTCCACTGGGCTGGAGACGTGTGAGGAGGTGGGGAAGGTAGTGTCCACTGGGTTAGAGACGTGTGAGGAGGTGGGGAAGGTAGTGTCCACTGGGTTAGAGACGTGTGAGGAGGTGGAGAAGGTAGTGTCCACTGGGTTAGAGACGTGTGAGGAGGTGGGGAAGGTAGTGTCCACTGGGTTAGAGATGTATGAGGAGGTGGGAAAGGTAGTGTCCACTGGGTTAGAGACGTGTGAGGAGGTGGGGAAGGTAGTGTCCACTGGGCTGGAGACGTGTGAGGAGGTGGGGAAGGTAGTGTCCACTGGGTTAGAGACGTGTGAGGAGGTGGGAAAGGTAGTGTCCACTGGGCTGGAGACGTGTGAGGAGGTGGAGAAGGTAGTGTCCACTGGGTTAGAGATGTGTGAGGAGGTGGGGAAGGTAGTGTCCACTGGGTTAGAGATGTGTGAGGAGGTGGGGAAGGTAGTGTCCACTGGGTTAGAGATGTATGAGGAGGTGGGGAAGGTAGTGTCCACTGGGTTAGAGACGTGTGAGGAGGTGGGGAAGGTAGTGTCCACTGGGTTAGAGATGTATGAGGAGGTGGGGAAGGTAGTGTCCACTGGGTTAGAGACGTGTGAGGAGGTGGAGAAGGTAGTGTCCACTGGGTTAGAGACGTGTGAGGAGGTGGAGAAGGTAGTGTCCACTGGGTTAGAGATGTATGAGGAGGTGGGAAAGGTAGTGTCCACTGGGTTAGAGATGTGTGAGGAGGTGGGAAAGGTAGTGTCCACTGGGTTAGAGATGTGTGAGGAGGTGGGGACGGTAGTGTCCACTGGGTTAGAGACGTGTGAGGAGGTGGGGAAGGTAGTGTCCACTGGGGTGGAGACGTGTGAGGAGGTGGGGAAGGTAGTGTCCACTGGGTTAGAGATGTGTGAGGAGGTGGAGAAGGTAGTGTCCACTGGGCTGGAGACGTGTGAGGAGGTGGGGAAGGTAGTGTCCACTGGGTTAGAGATGTGTGAGGAGGTGGGGACGGTAGTGTCCACTGGGTTAGAGACGTGTGAGGAGGTGGGGAAGGTAGTGTCCACTGGGTTAGAGACGTGTGAGGAGGTGGGAAAGGTAGTGTCCACTGGGCTGGAGACGTGTGAGGAGGTGGGGAAGGTAGTGTCCACTGGGTTAGAGATGTGTGAGGAGGTGGGGAAGGTAGTGTCCACTGGGTTAGAGACGTGTGAGGAGGTGGGGAAGGTAGTGTCCACTGGGCTGGAGACGTGTGAGGAGGTGGGGAAGGTAGTGTCCACTGGGTTAGAGACGTGTGAGGAGGTGGGGAAGGTAGTGTCCACTGGGTTAGAGATGTGTGAGGAGGTGGGGACGGTAGTGTCCACTGGGTTAGAGACGTGTGAGGAGGTGGGGAAGGTAGTGTCCACTGGGTTAGAGACGTGTGAGGAGGTGGGAAAGGTAGTGTCCACTGGGCTGGAGACGTGTGAGGAGGTGGGGAAGGTAGTGTCCACTGGGTTAGAGATGTGTGAGGAGGTGGGGAAGGTAGTGTCCACTGGGTTAGAGACGTGTGAGGAGGTGGGGAAGGTAGTGTCCACTGGGCTGGAGACGTGTGAGGAGGTGGGAAAGGTAGTGTCCACTAGGCTGGAGACGTGTGAGGAGGTGGAGAAGGTAGTGTCCACTGGGTTAGAGACGTGTGAGGAGGTGGGAAAGGTAGTGTCCACTGGGCTGGAGACGTGTGAGGAGGTGGGGAAGGTAGTGTCCACTGGGTTAGAGATGTGTGAGGAGGTGGGGAAGGTAGTGTCCACTGGGTTAGAGATGTGTGAGGAGGTGGAGAAGGTAGTGTCCACTGGGTTAGAGACGTGTGAGGAGGTGGGGAAGGTAGTGTCCACTGGGCTGGAGACGTGTGAGGAGGTGGGAAAGGTAGTGTCCACTGGGTTAGAGACGTGTGAGGAGGTGGGGAAGGTAGTGTCCACTGGGCTGGAGACGTGTGAGGAGGTGGGAAAGGTAGTGTCCACTGGGCTGGAGACGTGTGAGGAGGTGGGGAAGGTAGTGTCCACTGGGCTGGAGACGTGTGAGGAGGTGGGGAAGGTAGTGTCCACTGGGTTAGAGACGTGTGAGGAGGTGGGGAAGGTAGTGTCCACTGGGTTAGAGACGTGTGAGGAGGTGGAGAAGGTAGTGTCCACTGGGTTAGAGACGTGTGAGGAGGTGGGGAAGGTAGTGTCCACTGGGTTAGAGATGTATGAGGAGGTGGGAAAGGTAGTGTCCACTGGGTTAGAGACGTGTGAGGAGGTGGGGAAGGTAGTGTCCACTGGGCTGGAGACGTGTGAGGAGGTGGGGAAGGTAGTGTCCACTGGGTTAGAGACGTGTGAGGAGGTGGGAAAGGTAGTGTCCACTGGGCTGGAGACGTGTGAGGAGGTGGAGAAGGTAGTGTCCACTGGGTTAGAGATGTGTGAGGAGGTGGGGAAGGTAGTGTCCACTGGGTTAGAGATGTGTGAGGAGGTGGGGAAGGTAGTGTCCACTGGGTTAGAGATGTATGAGGAGGTGGGGAAGGTAGTGTCCACTGGGTTAGAGACGTGTGAGGAGGTGGGGAAGGTAGTGTCCACTGGGTTAGAGATGTATGAGGAGGTGGGGAAGGTAGTGTCCACTGGGTTAGAGACGTGTGAGGAGGTGGAGAAGGTAGTGTCCACTGGGTTAGAGACGTGTGAGGAGGTGGAGAAGGTAGTGTCCACTGGGTTAGAGATGTATGAGGAGGTGGGAAAGGTAGTGTCCACTGGGTTAGAGATGTGTGAGGAGGTGGGAAAGGTAGTGTCCACTGGGTTAGAGATGTGTGAGGAGGTGGGGACGGTAGTGTCCACTGGGCTGGAGATGTGTGAGGAGGTGGGAAAGGGACATAAACTGACATCACGTGTGCTTCAGTTTCTCGAGCAAGAACTAGAGGAGGACTTTCAGGTCAGGTCTGGGGTCTTGTGTAATCGTCACAATTTCTCAGGTCACCTTTAAACAGCTGTCAATCTCTTCTCTTCTCTTCTCTTCTACAGAGCTGGGCAAGAACAAGTCATACCCTCTTCAATGGAATCTACAGTTGATAAAAAAGTCTCCTAAGAATATTAAACAAAAAAACACCCATAAACAAGTTACAAACCACCCGACTTCGCCGTAACCCTCGCCCTGTCCCATCTAGATACAGCTTAAGTCAGTGTCACATGAGGGTCAGTTCCTGCTGGTGTCTCAGAGCTACTGTCCAGCTCTTTGGGTGTGGTCTCAGACATTGACGGTAACCTCAGAGAAAATCTCATGAAATAACACAATGTCTGAGCTGATTGGAAGTTGCGTAACTCCTCTAAGTAAGCTGCGTCTCGACCTGTGCAACACTATGTCAGTTCTAGCAGCCATTTTGTGACTTTTAATAAATGTTTCTTTATTTGATATATTGATTAAGGACATACCATTTATTCATATTTACCTGAATCTCACGTTCTACCATTCAAATAATTTAAATTTTGCTTGTTTTTAACCTCGTGATTCGTCATTCTGGGATCAACAAAAGCCAAAGATGAAAGTTCTGATCAATAATTAAATAAATAGGGCTTAGATGTAACTTTTAACAGAATTTGAGGCGATTAGCGATTAGTGATTAGCAGCGAGTTTAGCTTCCAGGGGGAGCTCCACTCTCTCAGCGGCTGTGTTTGTGGCCGATGCTACTCAGATTATACACAGATGCTACACAGATGCAGCTAACAATAACAGCAGCGATAAATCTAATTCTCTGTAATCCCCGGTCCAATCCACATCAAACAAAAACAGTCACAAAGATCAAGAATCTTCTTTGTCCGTGCTGTGGGACTGCATTTCTTCAGCGGGGACAGGGTGTGAGAGTTGATAGGAGGTATTGGAGTCTACAAAACACTTAAACATACACATACAATACGACGGTTTAACACAAAAATCATCTTTGAGAATGGCTCAATCACAAACTTCACTCTGATGGAAAATCACCGCCTAATCTGACAGAGTTTGAGTTGTTTTGTTTGGAGGAATGGGAAAAACGTTCAGTCTTTTCAGCTTTTCAGAGTCATACCCCGAGAGATTTGTGCTGCTGTGTTCACTCATGTTGTATGAATACTGCACTTTTCACTTCTTTATTACTAAAACCAGTGATGGCTAGTGGTGACTACATTCTTCAGTAGCTTGACGGTAGCGTCACTATTTACAAAACCAAGTAACTTCTCTGTAGCTAAGCTATTTTATTGATCAAGTATAGTGCTGTAACGCCCTCGAAAGCTATTTTCTGAAGGACATTTCTGATGTTCATATATAACAGCATTTTTCGCAGCCATAACAGACAAATTAGGAAGACAGAATGCTAATGCTAATGCTAATGCGTAGACCTGGTGACTACACACACGCGCTTTGTGACTCTGGTTGCTATATAAATAAAGATGACACACACGCACGCACGCACGCACACACACACACACAATGAAAAGGGAGTGCCATTGTTTTTATATCACTGATAGATCAGTGTTAATTAACTTCAAATGTCATGAAATGATGAACTAATAAAAGTGTCTTTTTTAACCAAAACACAGATCCGCATCCTATTTTCCATTTCCCTCAGTGAGTATACAAATACCTGGCAACATCAAATCCAGACTTTCTTTTAGGTTAATATCACTGCAAAAGCACGAGTTTCTGAAGTTTCGTAAATTTTGAAAAAAAGTATGTTTTGTGTTTGAACTTGAGTCTCATGTCAAAACCTTGTCACTGTGTCAGAAAACAAACGTCTTTTGAGGAACTGATCTCCATTTTATCTCCATGACGACTGTGAAGATTCTTTTAGCATCTTATAAATATTCCCAATAGCGGCTGGTACTTTCTCTTGTTGTCATAAGTTTTTCTAAATTTGCCCTCTGCAGAAAACCATTGGCTTTGTCGATTCATAGAGTCAATAAACAAGTCCCACAGGTTTCCACAAATGAAAGGCACAGGGACTGGCCTCCTGCTGGGACTCTGAGGAGCACAGGGACTGGCCTCCTGCTGGGACTCTGAGGAGCACAGGGACTGGCCTCCTGCTGGGACTCTGAGGAGCACAGGGACTGGACTCCTGCTGGGACTCTGAGGAGCACAGGGACTGGCCTCCTGCTGGGACTCTGAGGAGCACAGGGACTGGCCTCCTGCTGGGACTCTGAGGAGCACAGGGACTGGCCTCCTGCTGGGACTCTGAGGAGCACAGGGACTGGCCTCCTGTTGGGACTCTGAGGAGCACAGGGACTGGCCTCCTGCTGGGACTCTGAGGAGCACAGGGACTGGCCTCCTGCTGGGACTCTGAGGAGCACAGGGACTGGCCTCCTGCTGGGACTCTGAGGAGCACAGGGACTGGCCTCCTGCTGGGACTCTGAGGAGCACAGGGACTGGCCTCCTGCTGGGACTCTGAGGAGCACAGGGACTGGCCTCCTGTTGGGACTCTGAGGAGCACAGGGACTGGCCTCCTGCTGGGACTCTGAGGAGCACAGGGACTGGCCTCCTGCTGGGACTCTGAGGAGCACAGGGACTGGCCTCTTGCTGGGACTCTGAGGAGCACAGGGATTGGACTCCTGCTGGGACTCTGAGGAGCACAGGGACTGGCCTCCTGCTGGGACTCTGAGGAGCACAGGGACTGGCCTCCTGCTGGGACTCTGAGGAGCACAGGGACTGGACTCCTGCTGGGACTCTGAGGAGCACAGGGACTGGCCTCCTGCTGGGACTCTGAGGAGCACAGGGACTGGCCTCCTGCTGGGACTCTGAGGAGCACAGGGACTGGCCTCCTGCTGGGACTCTGAGGAGCACAGGGACTGGCCTCCTGTTGGGACTCTGAGGAGCACAGGGACTGGCCTCCTGCTGGGACTCTGAGGAGCACAGGGACTGGCCTCCTGCTGGGACTCTGAGGAGCACAGGGACTGGCCTCCTGCTGGGACTCTGAGGAGCACAGGGACTGGCCTCCTGCTGGGACTCTGAGGAGCACAGGGACTGGCCTCCTGCTGGGACTCTGAGGAGCACAGGGACTGGCCTCCTGTTGGGACTCTGAGGAGCACAGGGACTGGCCTCCTGCTGGGACTCTGAGGAGCACAGGGACTGGCCTCCTGCTGGGACTCTGAGGACCACAGGGACTGGCCTCCTGCTGGTCCCAGAGTCAGGACTGGGGTCTTGTGGTTGTAATCGTCGCATGGAACACATCAGGACTAAACATGGGGAGGCTGCATTTCAGATTTATGCAGCTAAAATCTGCAAGTCTTCCTGAAAATGTGAGACAGGCTTCTTCTCTCACAATGTTCAAATCCAGGTAAAAAAACAGCTGTGTTATTTCTGATTTGGATTTACTTACCAGATTTCAGACTGAAGGAAGTGCTGATTCTCGGGCAGATGCAATGATCAGAAAATAATTCAATCTGAAGAGACCAAAGACACAATTAATACAATAAAATTATTCATTTATTTGGTGCATTGACCCCGGCAGCGACCCTTGCAGCAATGAGATCGATTGCAGCTGAAGATGATCTCAGATCCCCCGGGGTCAATCACTGGTGGTGGCTAGAGTATGGTGTGAATGGGGCGTAGGCGGAGCAGGAGCCAGAGCGGGAGCCAGAGCGGGAGCCAGAGCGGGAGCCAGAGCAGGAGCCAGAGCGGGAGCCAGAGCAGGAGCCTAGAGCCAAGAGCCAGAGCAGGTGCTGGGGAGGTGGTGGGTGTTTAAGAGCCTCAGGAAGCGTTGCTTGTCAGGAAGTGGCTGCCTTTTAAACTGCCCGCTTTGCTGTAGAAGGTTGGCAGGAGGCTAGCCTGGCTGTGTGATTGGCTGAGGCTCGAGGCTGGCAGAGCTGTGTGATTGGCTGAGGCTCGAGGCTGGCAGAGCTGTGTGATTGGCTGAGGCTCGAGGTTGGCAGAGCTGTGTGATTTGCTGAGGCTCGAGGTTGGCAGAGCTGTGTGATTGGCTGAGGCTCGAGGCTGGCAGAGCTGTGTGATTGGCTGAGGCTCGAGGTTGGCAGAGCTGTGTGATTGGCTGAGGCTCGAGGCTGGCAGAGCTGTGTGATTGGCTGAGGCTCGAGGCTGGCAGAGCTGTGTGATTGGCTGAGGCTCGAGGCTGGCAGAGCTGTGTGATTGGCTGAGGCTCGAGGCTGGCAGAGCTGTGTGATTGGCTGAGGCTCGAGGCTGGCAGAGCTGTGTGATTGGCTGAGGCTCGAGGCTGGCAGAGCTGTGTGATTTTCAGGCTTGGAAGGGGGAATTTGCACTCGGTCTTTCAGTCTGAATATCCGCTTCAGCTTCATACAAATACAATTCATTCAACCGCTTGTTAAGATGCTAATACTGTAGCTAATGATTCCTATACAACCTTTGAACTTTATGTTGCTTATTTGTAGCCGAGGGGGCTACGCAGTAAACATGTAAAGATTATCATTATTATTATTATTATTATTATTTTCAGAATGTTACTTTAATGTTATTTTTATTGTGGAATACTATGCAAGCTACGGTGACACCGCAATTTCCCTTTTGGATCAATAAAGTCTGTCTAAGTCTAAAGTCTAAACACCACTCCCAGTTTGTGTTTCTTTAGGGAAACATTTTATAACATGGATAGAAGCTCAAAAAGAGTCGGTTTTGCACAGTAAGTCTCTCGCTGACCGTTGTGAGAGCGAATGGCTGTAGCCTCATGCTGCCAGCCGTCGTTAGTTCACAGAGACTAGCTTTAGAGCCGTGGACAGTTGCCGAGGCTGGTGTTTGTGTCCAGGACTTCACATTTGAGAACGATAAAACCCTCCAAAACACTTCAGTCCGGCCCCAGAGCAGCCGTGTGCTCAGCGGAGGCCGGCGGTGCGAGGGCCAATGAGGCGTCTCTGTCCTCAATGTATGATTTCACCTCCAGCGCCTCTGCCACCGATGATGTGCTGAACGGAAATCTGTGTGGCGCCAACTGAGCTACTCTGTGCTGCTCTCACTCATGTACACACTCTAAATAAGAAAGAGTGTGTACATGTGGTGGAAAGCTAACACTACTCTTCACTCTTCACTCTCCGTAGCATTCCCAGTGTCATATGATGGTGGTGGCAGCATCATGCTGTGTCTTAGGTTGGTTCTTTTTGATGTGGGCTTGGAGCTGATTGGCTGAGCAAGTGTGGGCCTTTATTTTTCACTTTTCTGTCTTAAAAAGATGATCCAAAGATGTGTCAGAGGCCGGAAGTCCAGGCATGATAAGCAAGATGTATTTTTATCACATATACTTTCTCAACAAGATACTTTGTTGTTAACCCGGTCTTGCCATACCATTGTACTAATTTCATTTCATACCAAGGTCTGGATTTACTCTATCAACAGGTGGGAGGGGTTAACTACTTTTGCAGATTGAAATGATTGGATCTGAGTTTACCATGACATTTGTAATGAGCCCGCGTGGGTGAGCCATTTAGCCTAGCTTTAGCATTTAACCTAGCTTTAGCCATCTCCTTCGATTGAACCAGAACAGATTACTTTACTATCACATTCTCCGACATTAACAAACTACAACCAGCAAATTCGGTGCAAACTCTTGACGTCACCGACACCCACCTACACCCGCCTCCCCCGCTCTCTGATTGGTCGAAGTGGATTCAACCGAGGAAACTGCAGCCACTAGGATCAGACCAGACGTACATGTAGGAAATGATCATGGACCAGAGTTTACACATGGTAAGACCAGACGTACATGTAGGAGATGATCATGGACCAGAGTTTACACATGGTAAGACCAGACGTACATGTAGGAAATGATCATGGACCAGAGTTTACACATGGTAAGACCAGACGTACATGTAGGAGATGATCATGGACCAGAGTTTACACATGGTAAGACCAGACGTACATGTAGGAGATGATCATGGACCAGAGTTTACACATGGTAAGACCAGACGTACATGTAGGAGATGATCATGGACCAGAGTTTACACATGGTATGACCAGACGTACATGTAGGAGATGATCATGGACCAGAGTTTACACATGGTAAGACCAGACGTACATGTAGGAGATGATCATGGTCCAGAGTTTACACATGGTAAGACCAGACGTACATGTAGGAAATGATCATGGTCCAGAGTTTACACATGGTAAGACCAGACGTACATGTAGGAGATGATCATGGACCAGAGTTTACACATGGTAAGACCAGACGTACATGTAGGAGATGATCATGGACCAGAGTTTACACATGGTAAGACCAGACGTACATGTAGGAAATGACCATGGACCAGAGTTTACACATGGTAAGACCAGACGTACATGTAGGAAATGATCATGGACCAGAGTTTACACATGGTAAGACCAGACGTACATGTAGGAGATGATCATGGACCAGAGTTTACACATGGTATGACCAGACGTACATGTAGGAGATGATCATGGACCAGAGTTTACACATGGTAAGACCAGACGTACATGTAGGAGATGATCATGGACCAGAGTTTACACATGGTAAGACCAGACGTACATGTAGGAGATGATCATGGACCAGAGTTTACACATGGTAAGACCAGACGTACATGTAGGAGATGATCATGGTCCAGAGTTTACACATGGTAAGACCAGACGTACATGTAGGAAATGACCATGGACCAGAGTTTACACATGGTAAGACCAGACGTACATGTAGGAAATGACCATGGACCAGAGTTTACACATGGTAAGACCAGACGTACATGTAGGAGATGATCATGGACCAGAGTTTACACATGGTAAGACCAGACGTACATGTAGGAGATGATCATGGACCAGAGTTTACACATGGTAAGACCAGACGTACATGTAGGAGATGACCATGGACCAGAGTTTACACATGGTAAGACCAGACGTACATGTAGGAAATGATCATGGACCAGAGTTTACACATGGTAAGACCAGACGTACATGTAGGAGATGATCATGGACCAGAGTTTACACATGGTAAGACCAGACGTACATGTAGGAGATGACCATGGACCAGAGTTTAAACATGGTAAGACCAGACGTACATGTAGGAGATGATCATGGACCAGAGTTTACACATGGTAAGACCAGACGTACATGTAGGAAATGATCATGGACCAGAGTTTACACATGGTAAGACCAGACGTACATGTAGGAAATGATCATGGACCAGAGTTTACACATGGTAAGACCAGATGTACATGTAGGAAATGATCATGGACCAGAGTTTACACATGGCAAGACCAGACGTACATGTAGGAGATGATCATGGACCAGAGTTTACACATGGTAAGACCAGACGTACATGTAGGAGATGATCATGGACCAGAGTTTACACATGGTAAGACCAGACGTACATGTAGGAAATGACCATGGACCAGAGTTTACACATGGTAAGACCAGACGTACATGTAGGAAATGACCATGGACCAGAGTTTACACATGGTAAGACCAGACGTACATGTAGGAAATGACCATGGACCAGAGTTTACACATGGTAAGACCAGACGTACATGTAGGAGATGATCATGGACCAGAGTTTACACATGGTAAGACCAGACGTACATGTAGGAGATGACCATGGACCAGAGTTTACACATGGTAAGACCAGACGTACATGTAGGAGATGACCATGGACCAGAGTTTACACATGGTAAGACCAGACGTACATATAGGAGATGATCATGGACCAGAGTTTACACATGGTAAGACCAGACGTACATGTAGGAGATGACCATGGACCAGAGTTTACACATGGCAAGACCAGACGTACATGTAGGAGATGATCATGGACCAGAGTTTACACATGGTAAGACCAGACGTACATGTAGGAGATGACCATGGACCAGAGTTTACACATGGTAAGACCAGACGTACATGTAGGAGATGACCATGGACCAGAGTTTACACATGGTAAGACCAGACGTACATGTAGGAAATGATCATGGACCAGAGTTTACACATGGTAAGACCAGACGTACATGTAGGAAATGATCATGGACCAGAGTTTACACATGGTAAGACCAGACGTACATGTAGGAGATGACCATGGACCAGAGTTTACACATGGTAAGACCAGACGTACATGTAGGAGATGACCATGGACCAGAGTTTACACATGGCAAGACCAGACGTACATGTAGGAGATGATCATGGACCAGAGTTTACACATGGTAAGACCAGACGTACATGTAGGAGATGACCATGGACCAGAGTTTACACATGGTAAGACCAGACGTACATGTAGGAGATGACCATGGACCAGAGTTTACACATGGTAAGACCAGACGTACATGTAGGAGATGACCATGGACCAGAGTTTACACATGGTAAGACCAGACGTACATGTAGGAGATGACCATGGACCAGAGTTTACACATGGTAAGACCAGACGTACATGTAGGAGATGACCATGGACCAGAGTTTACACATGGTAAGACCAGACGTACATGTAGGAAATGACCATGGACCAGAGTTTACACATGGTAAGACCAGACGTACATGTAGGAAATGATCATGGACCAGAGTTTACACATGGTAAGACCAGACGTACATGTAGGAAATGACCATGGACCAGAGTTTACACATGGTAAGACCAGGCTGCTTTGTTTTGTTCTTTCAGTACAGTCCAATTATATAACCCACTGTAATATTCTGTTTGCCTGTAAATGTTAAACTCTTCGCCTGCAAAGTTAATTTTCTATTATTGTCTCATCAGGAGTGAATTCCCCGCAGTGGGATCGATGCCGTTCACTTGTAAAACTTATTTTGAACGTACATGACTCAGCGATTCTTTATTCAAACTCACACCCTCCAGTTTTCATTTCATTCCATGGCTTCGGTTTTAATTTCGTTTTTGAAAATGTATTAAATAATTAGTCCGAACTGAAATCCCTGCTCCACACCATGTAATATTGTTCACTTTTCTAACAAAAGAATGAATCACCGGGAGTACAATTGCCTAATGGCCTATTTATTAAAGCAAAAGAACAAAAACTACATTTGAAATCCCAGCGGCGGTAATTTACCTGGAGCGGAAACGCGTGAGAAAGTCCTTTTTAGAGTTTTGCTCACGTCCTGTTTGGGCCAGATGTAATGGAGTTGACCTGATGCCAGTCCATTTGAAGACTGTTTGTTTGGACTCCTCTTTAATATAAGACCATGGGAGGCATCGGTGGCAGAATTAAAACCAGATAAGTCCACCTTGTTTGCTGGACCAGTTGTAGTAAATATATCAATATGTCCTCTGCATTTTCTTGTGAAACTTTGCTGTCGCTTTGAAGTTTTGGGATTTTTTCCACGGCTTCACCTTTGGGCAAGACACACTTTTCGGTTGTTATGCACATGTGCAACTGTATTTGCCAAATTAGCAACGTGACACTGAAAGCTAGGGTAGGTAGCTTTGTAGGTGGTTTTGTCCCGACAGAAAGAGAAATAAATCAGATTTTTCATTTGGTGAGTTTGATTTGGGCTTGGAGCTGATTGGCTGAGCAAGAGTGGTCCGCTCTTTTTCACTTTTCTGTCTGAAAAAGCTGATCTAAATATGTGTCAGAGGTCAGAAGTACAGGCATGTCACTGTTTAACAATAGTTCCCAGTATTCTTGACTGTTCCCATTCATATAAATGGGATTCTGAAAAAAGTGTGTTGCTATGGTAACTAGCACTTTTTCCAAGCTGAGACCGCTGAGAAACCAGTCCAGAACTAGTCCAGGACGAGTCTAGGGTCGAGATTATTTCATAAACATAACTGCATAGAAATAAACTACACATAGAAACAGATAAAGACCAAAAACATACATAACCAAAGTAATTACACTTCCAAATTCTGGGAGAATTCTGGACAATGTCAATGTCAGCTTTATCTGTATAGCACATTTACAACAACACCAGCTGCCCAGAGTGCTTCACAGCCACAAAAGAGAAAAAAAATCAAACAGCATAAAATACATTCAAATACATGTATGAAGTAAAACTCAAAGGT